TTATATTGACAGCAATATCTTTTTTCTTTTTTTCTTTTTTCTTTTTTTACAATAATCTTATTTCTAGCTGGAAGCAATGTCTTATCCCCATAATCCTAGTTAATTATAAAGCAAAAATTTGGTGGATTGTAGTTTGAAATCAGCTCGGACAGAATTCTCAACACTGTCCTACTTCAACTAATAAGAAGCGTTGCAGGAAAAATAATTAAGAGGATGGAGCCCAGGCCAGTCTGGGCAAAAGAATGTGTCCCTATTTTAAAACAAAAGCAAAATGTACATGGACCGTGATTCAAAGAGTAGAAAGCAAGCCTTACAAATGCAAGATATTGAGTTCTAATTCACACTTAATGAAAGTTGAGCTGTTTTTTTTTCTTTTTTCTCGTCTGCTGATCTCACTACCAGCTCTTGCAAGCTCCCATTCAACAATCACTCTTAACACACGTCTTCCTTGAAATGCTATCAAGAGCTTGTGGTGGATGGCCTAAATTGCCTTGTCCTTCACTGTATTTTGTGCAAAAAAGAGTTGTCTGAAATTTAAAATAGAATGAAAACAATAACAATGTACAAAGACTTGAAGTAAATGAGGAAGTTTGCTATGTGGCTGCCTGACAGGCAAGGGAAAAAAGTTTGCTGTTCAGGTCTAACTAATAAAGTTAGGCTGGAGCCATGGAAGAAAATGGAATAATTGGTAGGAGAAGAATGTAAAAGCTACTAAAGTGAGCCAGAGTTTGATTTTTTTTTTAAACTAAGATAAGGAGTCTTTGAATTTTATTTCAACTTTTCCATTATCATTTCTCAAAAAAAGAAATAAAATAAGGCTTTATAGGCAGTAGTTTCTACCAGAGGCACTGAAATCTAATATTATAGGTGACAAATGGAGAAAAGAAAGTTACATTTGTAGAAATCTCCTATGTATTGCCATGTATTTATGATGATTATCTTAAGTTAGGTACTCAAGAGATGTAGTTAAAAGAATTAAAAGAATGTTGTCTGAAGAATAGAGATAATAAAATGGATGATAGCCAGAGAGATGATAGCTGATTGAGAGATGATAAATAAATATTGATAAATATATAGCTGATATATGGATAAATGGTAATAATAAGTAGATGACAGACAGACAGACAGTCAGACAGACAGACAGACAGACAGACAGATAGATAGATAGATAGATAGATAGATAGATAGATAGATAGATAGATAGATAGATAGATAGATGCAATTCAGTGTAGGAAAGGTCTTGGAATAAAGATAGTTGCAACTGTGTACCATGTCAATAACTATCAAAATTATTCTAACTCTTCAAACTCACTCTACTAACTTGTCAAGTAAAATTCTCCAATGTAATTTTGTTTCTTCTACCGATTTTTCTGTAAAGTTAGAAAGTAACAACTAGCAGATATAAATATATTTGTTCCAACTGGTTGCTATATTTCTCATTGTGTATGAATAAATTAGTGTTCTATTTTAGACAGTAATCTCATGTACGTTTTGTTAATGTATTTCTTTTTATATTTCTGGTGTTGATTGAGCTCCTTAATTCTATTCTTTTATTACTGAAATGCCAAATTCCTGTTGTGGAATCAAAATAAGACTGACACAGGTAATCACAAGAGGTTGTTATACAAGAAACCCAAGACACACGTGGTGTGTGACTGATGGCTAAAAGACAATATTGATTTCCATTTATTTCATCTCTTGTTCACACACAGTACTGGTCACAGTCCTGATTCTTATATAATGGATTAGAGAAAGGTTGTTAGGAAATGAATTGAGCAAAGCAAATATGATATTGTGTTGTCTCAAATTTTATCAATTTTTCTGTGTTTATTCCCTAGGCTAGCTGAAATGTAGGATCCTAAAGCCTAACAGATTCCAGATTTAAATCTATCATTTATCAGTGGAGCCATTCTTTCTAATATAGATCACTTTGTGATGCTTTGTTAAAATAAGGTTTGTAGTCTTTCAAAGATCACAATTTGAACTGTGCTGACACAGCAAAGTTACTTCAACTTTTATGATGTTGCCTGGTTGCTGTCCAAGTAATTTGTACCATCTCTTTGTAAATTTCAAAGAAAAGAAAACTTTGAATGAACTCATTTGTTTCATAAGGTAGATAAAGCTTTGCTAAATTTTCCTTGTGTAAAATTTATAGATTGTTAGTACTTTTTGTTTTTACTGACATCAGGAAGATGAGAATTCCTAAGTATATAATTCCCTATTGCTAACTCATTTATCAAACTCTGTGAACAAAGTATTAATAATCTTTTTAGATACTTATATCATATTAACTATAAATCATCTTCATACTAACTACAGACCTCAGAGTTCTCCTGTGGAAATATAAGTAGCCTAATAGTTTCCACAGCTTTTGACCCAATAGAAGTAGGAATTTTCTGTGTACAATGCAAAATAAACCAATATCATAAATATAGTAAGTGTAGAGTCATACCATAAGTATGCTCTGAGACCCTGGAAAGAAAGCCTTTACCAGAGCCTGAGGGCTTATCTTACCCTGCTCACCAGTTTATAGTCTGACATTTACCAATGTATGATAAAAATCAAGATGGCTAGATGAAATCTAAGCAACTTTAAGAATTATATTTTCAATCAGAATAGAAAGGACCAGTTCTTTGTGGGATACTATAAACAGTTGACTAGTAGTTATGGGTAGGGTCACCTACACTTCCAGGATCAAGTGCTAAGTTCTGTGGATTCTAAAATTCTAAACTCAACTCCTACATCCTATTAGTCATTATAAAGTCTTATTTTCTTACATCAGTGTATAATTCATTTTTACAGCTTTATTAATTTTAATTATTTAGATACATGGAAGACATGATATGTGGTCATCCATTCTAACTCCTCGCTGAGTTTGTAGATCTTAAAGCTCAGCTGAATTTCTGTAGGAAGCCTTTCATGGGCATAACCATACTAAATTCTTTACCTCATTTCTCATTACTAACAAGGTTTGTATGGTCAGTGAAGTTTTTCTAAACTCTATACCATGCTCTCTATACTATAATACAGAACATCTTCATGTATTTATTCATACTGTAAAGAACTGAAATGTCCTTCACAGCTTCCTTGGGAAAACTCCTTCACCCTTAACCTTATAAAGCATCACCATCTTATAAAGTATTACCTCTAACCTAAGAAACTGTCTTGACTTCATGCATAAGGTTTCCCACCTTACAGCATAAACTTCAGTCATTCATCATCTAATTGTAATATTTGTTTCTGTCTCATCTAAGAAAAACTATGACCGACCAAAAAAAAAAGACATCTTATTACACAAATAAAATAAAATAAAATTAAAAAAAAGAAAAACTATGAACTTCACATACTAACAAGGATATGCTGAACTGAACAGTACAGTTGCAAATAGATGTGATTTCATATTTTATTCAACCTAAAGAGACAATTGCCTTTAACCTATCACTTACCAATTATTAAAGTTACACAGCAAAATATTATTGATATAATGAAAAAGTTCAGTTAGGGATAAAGTCCGAAAAGTGACAAAGCCCCACTAGTGTTCATTTTCTTTCTAGCACACAAAGTACATCAAATGATGATGGCAGAGGTATTCTAATGAAACATACTATGAAAATGTTGATGTTAAGAGAATTTTACCCTGAAATAAAGCCACCAATATTTATGAAGACAAATAATCTTGTATAAATTGTGTGGGACTAATGATTTTTAAATTATATTATACTTAATTTATAAAAAATGTTTAAGATGAAGCTAAAGTTTAAGGTTTTAAGTGTTATTTTATTCTATTCTTGACCCTTTAGAATGGTTTTTTTTATAGATACATTGTTTGAAAACTTAGACAATAGCCTACTTTATGTCACATTATTTCTGAAATTTAGCTTTCCTCCAACTATAATTATCAGTTTGACTCAACATGTGGACCCCAGATAGCTCTGGTTCCTGACCTATTATTACATGGTATTAACATTCTTGGTTATTCTTTTTGTTTATTTGTTGGTTGGTTGTTGATTTTTTTGTTTGTTTGTTTTTTTTTTGTCGGTTATGGGGCCTGAACTCCTGGCCTGAGCACTGTCCCTCAGCTCTTCAGATCAAGGTTAGCCCTCTACCACTGGAGCCACAGTGCTACTTTGGCTTTTTCTGCTTATACGGTGCTAACGAATCAAACCCAGGGACTCATGCATGCAAGGTAGGCACTCTACCACTGAACCACCTTCCCAGTCCCTCTTGGTTATTCTTGAAGTATCTTGCTCAGAAAAAAAATTCAGAAGTCTCTCACACTTGCCTGCCTAGGGCTTCTAGACCAGGAATAGCCTGCATCTCTACCTTTCACAGGTCTCCCATGTCGCTTGGTATCTGAGAACCCTGTCAATCTTTTTTTTTTCCATTGCAAACCTTCAGTCTCCATCTTTCTACTGTCCTTAATATAAAAGCCCATCATACCAGAAAAAAGTGAATCTAACTGTAGAAACTTTTCATCATCTGAATTTTTCCTTAGAATAATGTTCTTCAGTTGGAAATGCTATTTCTACTGTGTTAGTTTGCTAAGCCCTCTACATTACCATACTCTTTACATTGTATTTATTATTTTCTTTCCAAGAGTCATTTTGACAGTATGTAACCATACACTCTAATCTTTCATGTTTGCTCTAGTCAATATCAGCTTCTTAGCCTAACCCAATAGGTTTTTGGACCTGGAGTCTTTTCGACATGATTCATGAGTTTATAATCTGGTACCAATATATAATGAAATCAGAGAGGCTAGGAGAAATGGGAGCAAACTTCAGCCTTATGAACTATATTCACAGTAGGAACAGAAAGAAGCTGTTCTTTGAATCATCCAGTGGGATAGAGCTTAGAATGCTGAAGTGTCTTTGGGTAGAATTAGTATGAAAGTGGAAAAATATTGAGGTGAGACTGTCTTATAGAGTTAAAATGGACTATCTACCATTAGAGACTTAGTTACAAGGTAATGTGTTTTTATTGCATAACACATATCTTACCTTAACTTCCACATGTGCCATGAGTACTGCAAAATTGGTTAGGTGATTACAGGAGCATGTAGTATGCGTCTTATTTGTTGTCAGGAGCCGACAGCCTTGTGTTGACCAGTAACCTGTCATTGTGCGCTTGGAATAGCTCCAAAATGAACAGTTAGGGTTGAAATTTTCTTCTGACTGCTACAGTGATAAAAAAAATCAATAAAGGCAATAACTATTTTATGATCAGGTAATTTAGGAAAGCATTTTTTACACATAATCCAACCTCTAACTGTTCCAATTCTTGTGGAGGTATCTATGAATCTTTTCATACTAAGGAGACCTCATCAATTCTATGCAAAATTGAATCTATGCTTTGTTCTATCTGTTTAGAAGTGACTTTACTGGGTTATACAATTGTTACTACTGAAGGAGAATTTCAGAATCACATCAGCTAATTTATATTTCAATATAACTAAATTAGTTGTTAGAAAAAAACAACATTTGAAAAAGTGGTCTTTAATTCACTTAATAATCTTTGTATATATGCAAAAACATCACTTCAAGCAGACATGATATCTTGTAATATATGAACCTGCCTCAAGTTCTATTGAATATCTTGCTAACTCCTTTGCCAGTACTGGGCTTAAACTCTTCCTTGGATTTTAGTCAAGGAAAGTACTGCACATATTCCTTAAGCCACTCCGCCACTTCCAGCTTATTTCTGGTTAAGTAAATAAAAGAGGCTCAAAGACTATTGTGCCTAGGCTTGTTTCAATCTTTGCCCTCAGAATCTCTACCTCCTTAGTAGTTGGGATTACAGGAATGAGCTATCAGTTCCAGCTATTTTTAAAAATAGTAAGTTGCATTGTATATATGTAAGGTATCCAGTATTACAATAGGTAATGCATATCATACAATGTAACTGTTTACAGAAAACTAACTTCATATTCTCATCCAAATATCTACTTCTTATCTGCTTTTCACACAAAATAACTCAAATCTACTTATATATAAGAAAATCACACTACAGTTTATAGATAATGACTTTCTCTATGTTAGCACAAAAGAAAGTTTATACATGTAATACTCATGTTAAAATGAATATGGATAATGTGGGCAATTAAACTTACATGCTATTTTCTTACCTTGATATGTTTAACTGTAAACACCACAGGATCAGCCAAATAAACTTTATTACTGAACTCTTTGTTTATTGCTGCTGTAATAACAGGGGAATTGACGATGACAGAATGATTCGTGGACATAGCTTCCATTCCCAACTTCATACTGGCATTCTCCGTGGACAAATAAGGACCCAAGTTGTTATATAAGACAAAGGCTACTCTGATCTCTCCTAAAATGAATGCAAATATGGATCATAAGTTGAGAAAATGTTCTGGTTCATTTGTACAGTCTCCTTAAATTAGTAGTTCCAATTAGATGGCAATCAAGTTAAGGAATACATATGCACTCACACACAAAATCAAGCATTTCTTTGCAGAAAACCAAACTGCCAAGTCATTGCCCAGGAAAGGAGAGTCAAATCTGCTGAAATAAGTACATTTAAGTATTTTTATCCCAAATCTATTCCTATCTCAGTCAGTCTGTACTCTCAACTGATTAAAAGATGAATCAGAGCCCTAAACATCAAATCTGGAACTATACTGGCAAAATTGAAAAGTCGAATTTAAGCTAGGAGTGTTAGGGAATTTACCTAGCTTGCATAAGGCTCAGCATTTGATTCCTAACAATAAATTTGTAAATAAAGCAATACAAACAAAAAGCTATACATGAGTGTGCTTAATTGTAATCCCAGCACGAAAGGAGCTGAGGCAAACCTATCTAGAGTTCTCAGTCGGCTTGAGCTACACAGTAACAACAGAATCCAACCACCACTACTACTACTACCACCACCACCAACAACAACAACAAAATCTAAAACACAACAAAAACCCCCACAAACTATGGGGAAATGAAAAAACTATGACTCATGAATATAAAGTATTTATGCCAACTCACAATTTTTTAAAACAATAAGTAACATTAAAGAATTGTAATTGTACAAATTGTAAATGTACAAATGTACATACCTTAGGGAAAAAGGTAAATGAAAGATGATTAAATGTATGAAAAACAATCAATTCAGTAGTAATTAAAGAAATAAAACATGAAAAATATTGAGATAACATTTCACCTCCACTAGTGTCTGTGAAATTAAATAAGGACCAATAAAAATATTGGTAAAAAATTGAGAGCAAGGGGCTGGGAAGGTGGCTCAGTGGTAGCCCGCTTGCCTTGCATGCATGAGGCCCTGGGTTCGATTCCTCAGCACCACATAAGCAAAAAGAAAAAAGCCAGAAGTGGCGCTGTGGCTCAAGTGGTAGAGTGCTAGCCTTGAGCTGAAGAGCTGAGGGACAGCGCCCAGGCCCAGAGTCAGGCCCCATGACCGGACCCCCCCCAAAAAAAAAAATTGAGAGCAATTAGAACTCATTCCAAGTATTTGGAAATATGCTTGGAAAATCTTGTAAAATTAAACACATAATGACTATTTTACATGAGTAAATTATATATATATACACATATATACATATGCCTGATATTCATTGGCATACATATTCTTCTCAGTAGTTCAGCAAAGAGATTATGGAAACATAAGGAAGAAGGCTTTCTTGCTAATCTCTATCCATTAAAATAGCTCTAAGTAAGTAGTAGAAACTTGTTAAATATTAAATCTATTACAACTGAGGATTCATTTTAGTTTTTTTTCTACATTTAGGGTAAACAATCCTGATTTTTTGGAAGGTTAAACTTAATGATGCCCATATATTTTTCTCATTGATATTATTCGCTTTTCTTTTACTTGTCTTATAGCCAGCTATTAATTCACAGCAATTTCTACTTATGGGTTGGTGTCATGTTGCCATTTCTCAATGCATTTAGTCACATATAATTGTTTCAGCTTCTTCATTCTGAAATTAATCTGACTTATGACGATCCCTAGCTTTGCACCCGTACATTCACATATATATTTAATATAATACTTATGATTACATGGCTGTGTGTAAAACACTAGGGTTGTATTATCAAACACATTAGACAAAGGCTCTGCTTTCATGGAATATACTGTGTAGTGAGAGGTTCAGACAATAAACAGGCAGATTTTTCACATGTAATAGCATACTTTCTTAGAATGGCATGAATACTCTGCAGAAGCATTGGTGTAAACATGGCTGACACAAAAACAGTAACTGAGTCTTTCCCTACAAAGAATAGAATATATTTCAAGTAATCAGTATTAGAGGCTAAGATGCAAAGAAACACAAAAGTTGTGTTTCAAGAAGAAAGAAAAGAAAGTGAAAAATTCCTGATGTCAGAAAATGTGTGGTGTTCATAAGGAACAGAATTAAATTAGCTGACTTGGATCACAGAGACCATGCTGAGGACAGATGTGAAGTATAACAGATGAGGCGAGGCAGTAGATCAAGGCAGGCTTTGTCAAGCCATGTGATAGCTTTCTCAGTTACTTGAGGTGACTCTGTTTTAGGAAAGATCGTTTCTTAACAGCAATACTTTCCCAGGACAGTACCAGAAGCAGAGAAACCAGTTAGTGAACTAACACAGTAACCTAATTTAGCTATATACAATTACTGCTGTCTCAAGTATTTCTTTAGTCCAATTAGCATAATAATGACTTCTAAGCTCAGTCTTACAAGTCTGTTAATGCTTACAAAGCATATTATTCTGATGACAGAAAAATGTAATATATTTTCTTTTTTTAAATTTAATTTTATTCTCAAGGAAATATACAGAAGGGTTACAGTTACATACAGAAGGTAGTGTGAATACATTTCTTGTCGAACATATTACCCCCTTCCTCATTTTTCTCCTACTTTCCCTGCCTCCACCCCTCTCAAGTTATAAAGTTCATTTCCAATATATTGTCTTGTGAGTATCGCTGTTGTATTGGTTCAACCTTTGTCCTTTGTCTCACTATTTTGTTGTTCCTTTCCCTTTCTAATTCAGATAAACATATGTACAATACCCAGAGTACAAAAATCAAATACAGTGACAACAGGTGATGAACCATAGAAAAGAAAAAAATAACACAAAAGAAAAAAAGAAATCACACAGTACATAAAAACAACAACAAAGAAGAACCTCTTGTTTCCATGTCTTGGAGTTCATTTCGCTTAACATTATCTTTTATATGTTCATATGTACATAGCTATTGAGCTATTCTGCTCATCTGCTAGGACGATCCTAGACTAATTATTCTACTACTAATTATTATTATTTTTTTGGGTCCGGTCGTGGGGCCTGAACTTTGGGCCTGGGTGCTATCCCTCAGCTCTTCAGCTCAAGGCTAGTGCTCTACCACTTGAGCCACAGCGCCATTTCTGGTTTTTTTTCTTTTTGCTTATGTGGTGTTGAGGAATCGAACCCAGGGCCTCATGCATTCAAGGTAAGTGCTCTACCACTGAGACACCTTCCCAGCCCCTCTACTAATTATTATAAATGAGGGAAAACATGAAGCCTATGTTTCTTTGGGTCTGGCTCACTTCACTTAATGTGATTTTTTTTCCAAGTCTTCCCAGTTGCTTATGAATGGGGAGATGCCATATATATATATCACATTTTCTTGATCCATCTTCTACTGAGGGGCATCTTGGTTGGCTCCATATCTTAACTATGATAAATAATGTTGCAATAAACTTAGTTTTGCTGGTAGCTTTAGTATGGCCTTGTGTTCATTTGGGTAAATGCCCAGAAGTGGGATTCCTGGGTCATCAGGGAGCTCTACGTTTAGTCTTTTGAGGAACCTCCACATGGCTTTCCAGGATGACTGAACAAGTTTACACTCTCATCAACAGTGTAATAGTGTTCCCTTTTGACCACATCCCCTCTAGCATCTGTTCAGACAAGGGCCTCATATCTAAAATATACTTAGAATCACCTAAGTCCCCCCCCCAAACAAATCCTCAAAGAAACAACCACCCCATTAATAAGTGGGCTAAAGACATAAAGAGAGATTTCTCTGCAGAGGAAATAAGAATGGCCAATAAACACATTAAGAAATGCTCAATATCTCTGGCCATAATAGGAATGCAAATCAAAACAACATCAAGATTCCACCTCACCCCAGTTAGAATGGCCATTATCAAGAAATCTAATTTATTCTTCTTGCTAATATTTACCAGAGTGTTCTTTGTTTAAGACTACTCATCCAACAATATGAGACATCAACTTAGAGTTGAGTTGACATCAGCCTGAGGTCATCTTCTTATCATCTATGGGACTCAAAGTTCTCATTGGCTTGGAAAAAGATTATATAAATCTTGGGACAAACTTTCTCTATAATATTAGTTATTGAATTTCATTCTAGCACTAAATTGAAATCTCTATCTCTCTGTCTTCTATTTATCTATCTAGCCTAGTCCTTATATTTCCTTGCATTTAATTTTTTTTTTTTGATCTGGTCGTGGGGCCTGAACCCAGAGCTTGGGCGCTGTTGCTCAGCCCTTCAGCTCAAGGCTAGCGCTCTACCCCTGAGCCACCTTCCCAGCCCTCCTTGCATTTAAATTTTACTAAGCTTTGTAAAGCACTTACACTCTCCAAAAAAGGTATTGAAGGAAAAAAAAAGAATGTGCAGCATTTAAATACTTTTATATTGCAAGTAAAATTTATATTAAAAATTTTATGAGATGAATCTGCAATGGCAATGTCAAATAACTCTTTTGGGGAAAAGAAGATTGGGTCATCAGGGGTTTGGTGTTATAGTTTCCCTAATTTTGTTCAATTTTGAATTTCTGACAATTGGAAAGCCATGAAACAGTTTCCCAGTCTATCAGACAGAAGAGTATAGAATAAACATTACTGCAATATTGATGATAAAGTAGATATGAAGACAAAGAAAAGGAGGAGAAAACAGCAATATAGACAGAGTCCAGGAGACAGAACTCATATTGGGTGGATCTAGAACTCCATGCCATGAAGCACTGACTGAAGCAAGGTAAGTGCCATCAAGCATGAAAAGTAAACTCTTGCTTACCATTTCGTCCATTTTGCTTCAGTGTATTTGCAGAAAGCTGGATGGTGCTTCCATGGCCCATGTTTTCTGGAAATTTCAAGTCTTCTAGGTTTCCTTCTGTGCTCAGCCTTGCCACTTCCAACTCTTTTCATAGTAAAAAGATAGCAGTGTTCATGGAGAAATATGCCAAAATTATACTAGAGTAACTTCACGAATCACTGAAACATTTCTCAACTCAGAACATTGTAAGTTTTGTTCTCTTAAACTGAATTTTAGCATATACTTAGTGTTTAATTTTTTAGTTTTTAAAATATAGCACAACTGGCTAAGCATGTGGTTCTATGGTACAACTTCTCTGTGTATCGTTTGCATGGCCTACCACTATCACGAAAATTAATAAAGTAAATAAATAACTGAATAAATAAAGCAAGTGAAAGCTTGCAAAATTGTGTCTTATAAGTGTATCAATAAAGTCTAAAATTTAAGTCCAAATCCTTATTTTGTCTTAAATTAATTGTGACACTAATTGTAAGGTTAATTTTAATGTTAATTTTCAAAGTGTTTTATGAATTGAATAAAAAATCCTTTTGTAGTCTGGATCTTCACTATCTTCTCACTACTAATTTAATTTCAAATATAATAAATTTGAAAAGAATTTTATCGTTTCCTCAAGTAACACTATCAGTTCCATCCTAAACCACAATAAAAACATTTATAATTTTCATAAGCAAAATAATAAAATTATCAAACATTTTTGTCATTTCCATTCAAATGATTTATTTAATAGTTATAATTTAGGTACACTGAGAATACATATAATCCTTGCATTGGGAGGCTAGAATATATAGTGATCTAAAACAGACATAAATATATGCTTACATGAAGATTCTAAAAATGAAATAATCCCACTGTAAGTGATCTCAGGGTAACACATCAAAATATTGGGATGCCCCAAACATCCATGGATATTTTTGATCCTGTAAAGCCTAAAGGTGATGTGTTCATAATTGGAGAAAGGAAATAACTTTAACTCCATTGAAACAGGCACCAGATAAACCTTACTGTTCTACAAAGGTCTCTGCAGCTTTATACCCCAAAAGCTACTTACGAATATTGTCTGTGTTCTCTCTGACAATGTCAGTCTTCAAAAGGTTATCAGCCAGCACAAAAGCACTCTCCTCCACCGTGTCAAGCAACATGGTAGCTGCACGAAGTTGATCACTTGTAGTCAAGTCTTTCCAAGCATTCAGTGCTTGTGGCTGAAGGAGGTTGTTAACTGTCTCTACCATCGCCTACAAGAGGATGAACAGAATAACAGAGGTCTCTAGTGAGCCCAAATAGCTGTCATAAATCCAGATGTACATGTTTCCCAGTAAGCAAGGAACAGCAGTGTGCATAAGTTCACTATTGTCCCAGCCTCCCCTGTGACATGCTGTATTACAAACACTCTTTTTTTGGTAAAACCTTAGCTGAGTCTTTGCAAGGCAACAGGAAAAATGTGAGGTATTTTTTTTTGTCTGTTTTGAAGGACAACAACTAGAGCCATGCTTGCTTCTTGAAATCAATAGCATGGCCTGAATAAGACTATGACCACATAATTAAGTTATTTGGCTGGTGACAAGTAATTTATTCCAACAGTTTGTCACATCACTCACAGAAAGTGTTGTGAGTTTTTTTTCTGCACATCACCATAAAACTAGATGCTGACCATAGCAGAGAATGAAGACTAGACAGAATTTATTGCCTGGGTTGAGGATTCACTGACCAAACACATTTTTACTTTTTCTTGTCTTTTTTTTTTAAGCTAGCTAGTCAAATGTCAGAATGAGGACAATATCAAAGTAGACATACTCTCGGGGGCTGGGATATGTCTTATGTGAAGAGAAACCTTCTTTATACTGTTTACAGGGATGGTATAAACAGTTGGACTTCATTATGTATGGCCCTCAGGTGTTTTTTTTTTCTTTAGGAAATCAGCAGTAGGTACATCCACACAGAGAGACAAAACACCATATTTCTCATTCCTTCATCCAAAGGAATAATCTCTGTAGCTACAACATATATATATTTCCTGCGGTTTGCTTTATGTTGTAGGTTACAAAGAAGAAACAGCTCTCCCAATAAGGTCTTGGGTTTCATTCAAACATAGAAAATGGCAAAATAGAAAAATACAACACCTGCAGTTTGAACGTTATCGTCCCTGAACCCATTCATTATGAAGTATGTCTCCAATCCAGAAATAAAGATGAATAAACAGCCAAACACAGACACTATTTCTAGGCATTACCTAAGTGTTCTGCAGCAGAGTTCTTGCTTTGGACACAACTGGCAGAGTGACTGGGTGAGATGAGAGTCATACCCTTTACATGGCTGTGTTTCCTTCTGCCTGGTGTTTTCATGATTCCCAAGTAACAACTGTTAACAATTCAGCCTCATCATGAAATACCCTGGCTGCCAATTAACACCCAGTTCTAAAACTAATTTACCTTTTGACAAAAAGTTGTGTTTCTTCATATTTTTGTAGCTAGTCCAAGTTCTGGCCAAAAACTCATATCACTGGACTTTGAAGGAAAGAAATCCTACTCACAACTTGTATACTTTGCATCCTTAATACACACACACACACACACACACACACACACACATTAACCAATCTGTTTTTAATTTAAAACTGGACACATTCAGATTGTTGTTTGTTCTGACCTAGTAGGTATACAAAGATATTTGCAGATCCCTATCACCACCACCACCACAACAACCACAAAAATATATAGATAAATAAATAAATAAACAAACAAACTGTTTTCCAGGAAGTTCTCTACAGTGGTACTACCAATACATATGCAAAAAATAATCAAAATAAGAGGTGTGTCAGAGAGGAAATAAATAAACCAAAACTTAGATATCTGAAACCAAACAGAAAACATCATCCTCTTTAGTGCAAAGATTTAGTCTTTCTGGAAGAGGATGATCCTTGAAACTCATCAGAAACACCCCAGAAGTCTCACATGTAACTGGAATCATGTGACTCTTAGAAATGGTGCTTGTATTCTAGCAGATAATGATCTTAACAGTTACTACATAATAGTATATTGTTTTAAATCTTACCTCAGGCAACACTTCCTGAGAATAATGTAATATTGCTGTTTTGCTCTTGGTTGTTTTAATTCATTTAATTAAAAATGCAGATGAGAAATACAAAAAAATAGCAATATGGTTCACACCATCATGTTTTCCAACACTGTTATGTATAACATGCCCAGGACTAAATGATGAAGCAGAAGGTCTGAACAGACTAACAGCGACTGAATCAATCATCAAAAACTTCACAACAATGGAAAGCCTAGCACCAGATGGTTTCTCTTGTAAATTCAATCAAACATTTAAAGAATATATACTGATTCTCAAACTCTTCCAAAATGCTGAAGAGGATGGAATACTTCCAAACACATTACTTCTCTAAATGAAATGCCAAATAAAGAAACCACAAAGAAAGATAAGCATAGACCACCATCCTGATAAACATAGATGCATAATTCCTCATCAGAAAAATACTAGCAAACCCAGCAGCACATTAAAAATAACCAGTCAGAACAACCAACTATAATTTGTTCCTAATATATATGGACAGTCCAACTTATAAAAAAGCAATTAATATGATAAACTCTCATAACAGAATAAAGTATTATTCATGTTACATGGATTTACTTGATACATGCAGGGGAAAAAAATCCCTCTTGTCTGTCCAATTGAGTACTTTTTCATGATAACTGTCAAAAAAACTAGAAACAGAAGGAAGTTACCTCACCATAATAAATGCCCTATATGGAAAGCCCACAGCTAACATCACATGCAGTACTAAAAATATGAAAGCTTCTTCTTTAAAATCATCACAAAGATAAGGATGCCCATGTTTACCATTTTCTTTAACACAGTGCTTGAGGTGCTAGCCAGAGCAATTAGCCAGTACAAAGGAATATAAGCTGGAATTGAAAAGGGGAAAAAAAAGTCTCGGTTTACAAAGAGCATTGTGTATAGTACACCCAAAAGACTTCATGAAAAACCACTGCTACTACCAACAATAAAAAAAGACTCTTGAAACTAATAAATAAACTCATAAACCTGTTTCCAACAGATTTCTAGACTGCTTTCTCTAAAAGATGTAGCTTCCAACTAACATTTATGAATCAAGGGAACCTCTTATTAATTTTTCTTAATTTTTCATCCACCAAAATTCAAAATCTGCACTACTGAAATAATCATAAATTTTGAATATACTGCCAACAACTGTATTCTCTCAAGTAAGGTATTATTTTTCAATTCTAGTTCTACTAAAACTTAAATAAATTCCAAGTTTGTTAAGAGACTAAAACTATGGTTCTTAAAGTGTAGTATGTGATGATTCAAACTTAAGATTCATTTCGTCTCCTTAAAAAAAAAAAACATGTATTCATGATTGCTTAATTACAGTTACAAGAAACTGTTAACACAAAGATTGGGAGACAGTCTTTTGTAGTGTTAAAATGAAGGGTATAAGATTTAGAACCAGATGGACTGAACTTGATGTCTTACTATGTGGTATTGGGTAAATCACTTAACTTCTCTATAACTCTTCTGTTAATCAGCGATGATATTATAATCAGTGCCAAAGGCTGCCTTGCTCATGCAAGAGGCTGAAATAGAATTGCATTTTTACTTTCATTAGATATTAAAATCCAGGGGAGTAGAAGTGGTATCTTCATATTTTATCTGATGGCATAAATTCTAATAGTACTAAATAGCCATTCCAGAGTTAAATCTAGAAGCAATAACCTTCTGTGATGCAATCTTCATAATTTCACCTATTAGACAACTTAAATATCAAAGACTAGACTTGGGGTTTTGAGGATGAAGAGTATACTGGCCTGAACAAATGTACAGACTAAAAGTATGAATAGACTGATCTGTTTTCTGCTAGTGAAACAGCAATTAGCTTTGTCTTAGGAACCTTCTGAATACAAATTATTTAGGCTTCCTAAAGTTACTGACGTGTCCTTACTGCCAGCTCAAAGAAGTCAGTTAAATAGTAAAAACTCTCAATGATACAGAATATTTTTATTTACTTCTGCTTATGTATTTATTGTATATCCATCTATGATGACATCTGCTACAAAATTATTTTCTAATTCAAAATTAGGGTTGATTTCCTCTTTATTTGGTGATGTAGAATTGAGCTTGTATAGACTTCAAATATATGAATGAGACGTAGTATGCATTTAATCAAATTTAGAGCAGATACTGGGACATGACATCAAGTTTTAACAATTCTCTCTCCTTTATCAAGTTTTCCTGATTCAACTTATAATCTAAATTTGAGGTGAAAAAATGGTTCTGAATTTCTCTTATAAAAATTCTTATTTTCATCAAAATGGCTCAATTCAAGAAGTGGGGGAAAATAATCACCTGATGGTTTCAACACATATGAACTAAAGTATTTTGAGAAGTGAATTTAATCAATGCTGTCTTTGCAAGCAACTAAAATATTAATAGTTTATCTTTTTTAAAAAAATCACTCAAACTTGAAGACGAGCAGTGGAAATTTGCATGATAGGTTTGTTACTCAATTTTATCATGTACTAGGACAAATTATATTTTCTAACTAGCCAAGAAAATGTGAACTACTTAGGAAAATAGGTTTCATAATACTTCAGTTTCAGAGAAGACAATGGTGTTTAATTCCCTTTCTTATTACATAGTTTGCTGAGTATATTGTAATTATGTGACTGTTCCTAAAAAGTCAAGCATAACTTTTGAAAATTCACAAGTTATTTAGAGGCACCCAAGGAGCAGGTAACCAATATCTTTCTGTACAACATTAAATTCAGACATTAAACAAATTCTTTTGACTAGATTTACTCATAGCATTTATTAAAAACATTTGATAGGAATATTTTGTATATTTTAATATACAATATTTTAATACAATACAATTTTTATACAATATTTTAATATGTAGAATTTATTTGCTAAGACTACTGAGTAGTAACACCTTGGGTAAAACAGCTTTGTGTTCTTGGATTCTTGGAATGATACCTTTTGCAACAATTTCAAAAAGATTTTGTGAAACAACCTGATGTTTCTTAACAGGAATACACATGAGCACATGCATGTATGCATGAGTGTACACACACACACACACACACACACACACACACACACACACACACACTGAGCACTAGGGAATATCAGGGCCATTTCTTACCCAGGTGAGCACTAAATCTCAAGCTCCAAGCATAATCACCTATGAAACCTA